TATTTTAATATCAAGTGTTATAGTCTGATAAGCAATTCTACGCGTATCATGTTTTCTGATTGGCTCGTTGACATCATCGTTATAAATTTACACGCTTAATCATGTGCAGTATTTAATTGGTCCTAAATTTAAATAAACTACTGGATTTTAATTATTTTTTGGCTATGCTCGCAAGGTCGATTTTCTACAAACTTTGAGTATTACTAACTTACACAAAGTCTCATTATGATTAATAGTAACCGATCCAAATGTCCTATTGTAATAATTTGATAAAACAAAATCTGTTGTATATTTGGGCGTAACTTTATTGCAGTTTACCAAACCGGAAAGCTTGATAACATACATAGGTATTACGAATTCTATAGTGTCTATGGATTGCTTTATTGGACAGTAATACAGTATCTAACGTTTCAAAATAATAAACAAACATATGTACAGTACATATTCAGTAGGGTATTTTTCACTGGTTTCAATTTTGGGGACAATATTAAAAATCAGTAAACAGGGTTACATGAAAAAAATCTATCATAAATTTTATAAATACGTATTGGTATGCAAATTAACAATATTTATATAATACTTTAATAATATACTTGATACATATGGAATGTGCGGTATATTATGTAAATCAAAACTATATGTGGTCATATAATAAAATTTATTGTCTCGGCTGAAGATGGAAATTAGGGACCTCGATTTAAAAGTATGAACTTACCAAAATCCACTTATACTCTTTTATTATAAAATTAACCCTAAACTCTAACATAACTATCTAAAAAAAATAAAAAAAGTAACCCAAAAATTTTTGAAAAATTCATATTAAAATTTTCCAGTATCAGCCGTGACATTCAAAAATAACTCATGATCTCGTCACGTGCGTCCCGAATTAACCGCAACTTATAGAATGTGCACATATGGAACTGTATGTCATTTATCGCAACAATAAATTATGTGCACTTTCCCTACAATGATAAGTGCACATAATTTGATACTATTCTTCATAAATGAATATTCTATAAATGCACTTTTACTCAACAATTGAATTTATTGAGGGTTGACTGTATTGAATTTATTGAATTTAGAAAATCTTCTCTTATTTCGAAATAATCTTTTAAAGAAACTTATGAATAAATACTCAACTAGCACGAATAAGGCTATTACTAAGCTCTGGATAACGAAATTGACGAACTATTGGAACTAATACAAGCCATAGAACTGTATCGATATCTTGCTATAAGTGTAAGAGCAATTAAATCTAACAATTTTTTTCAAGGTCTTTTGCTTAATTTTAGCATCCCAATTACTGTCTTTGCAACGCTTGTTTACAAATAAAGCCATTTGTGCATATCCGGCATTTTTTGTTATAGTTATAGGAAGACCAGTTACTGCTTTTCTATCAATAATATTTCGATTTCAATAAACATCATCACAAGTTTTTGATATTTAGTAGTTTGCTTGAAAGTTCTCTTTGAAGGCATATTAATATATAAGATAAATAATATTTGTTAAGCTATATTAAAAAAAAATCTAAACGAAAGTTTAATAAAAATAATTTAAGTGAAATAATTTAAGCAAAGGTTCAGTAAGTTAATTTGTGCGAATGTTCAGTAAGTAATTTGAACGAAGGTTCAGTAAGTAATTTAAGTGAAGGTTCGGTAAGTAATTTGAGTGAAGGTTCAATAAGTAATTTGAGTGAAGATTCAGTAAGTTATATAAAAAAAAATAATTTGAGCAAACATTTAATGAGTAATTTGAGTGAAGGTTCAGTAAGTTATATAAAAAAATAATTTGAGCAAATGTTCAGTAAGTAATTTTTGAGCGAAGGTTCGGTAAGTAATTTGAGCGAAATTTTATTATTTACTCTGCTCTGCATTTTGTTATTATTAAATAGTTTATTGATCTGTATAATAAAAAATTTTTACTTACAGTATTTCGTTAAATAGGAGTCATTAAACACTTCCATTTTATTTCCGATTTCAAAATTTTGATACACAAATAAGATTTTTTTTAAACTCTTATTTATTTCCGAAATACGCTATTTATTTTTTTTTGATTCTGAAACCCCTTATTACACGAATTTGTGCAAATATTAAAATGAATTATATACATATAAATAATAATATTACTTTTTTTTTTATTTGTATATCCAAGTTGATTTACAGCTCTTCAAATTGTCATAAGACTAATTTTATTCTAACAAAGGTCTCTAATTGTAACTCATACAAATACCAGCTATCATTGAAGTCATAAGATATCTCATTCACGGCTTTCCTAAAAGTGATGGAGTTTTCAATATATTCGTATCTTTGAAATTCTTGAGAATTCGACTTATAAGAGACCTACTAATACCTAAGTGTTAGCAAATCTTCGAACCGATATGCCTTCTAAGGTTTTTTTCAATTATAGTATTGTTAGCGAATATGCTTTGAAAGTATCAAAACGTACGTACTGTACTGGGTGATAAATCAATTAAATAATAAAAATTATGTCAACAAATATTAGCAATATTATTATGCTCGGGGTTTGTCAATTAATTTGCCAATCAACGGGATCGCGCCTTTACTTAATTTTTTTTTGCAATAAAATCCTTAATTTTTATTGTAACAAAAATAATAAAAAATAATTTAAATAATAAAATTGATTTAAAAAAATAATAAATAAAAAGAACTAAAAAGCAGATAGCGTCAAATATCATCTGGAATTTCTATACCAGCAGATTTACTAACACTCAATTTTGATAAAGCTGAACTAATATTTATCGTATTATATGGCTTACTTGTATATATATTGTTAAATTTTTCTTTGATTATTGGTAAATTTTCATTGATCTTATCACTTTCTAAAAATTGCTTTTCAATTTCGTTTTCGCTTTTATCAATAAAAATGCCATTAATTTCATCAAAAAAAATACAAAAATTTTCTTCGTCATAATCATCATTTACAAGCTTTACCCATTTCTCAAATTCAATAATTATTTCTTTAGAAGTAGGTCGTTTGCTTGGATCTGAATCCATACATCGTTTTGCTA